GTAAGGCTACATAAAATGCAGACTTGAAAGCCACACTTTGTGACCTTTAATGCGACACTTTTGTAGAATTTTTTTTGACATAATTGTTACATTTAATCAATAAACCTTCTTTTTGCGCAACAAAACTGTTGTAAAAAAACCTCAAATTAGTGTTGCGCTAAATGCAACAATATAGTTTATACACTAATCTGTGTTTTTCTAGACGTTATAAATGTTTTGATTTTTTGTAAGTATATTTATGCGTGATTTATTTCACAAACATATTGCTTAATTTAATCTTAAACTTTTGGCAATACTTTCTTTAAAAGGAATTGACGATAATTCTTTTGCTGTTTATTCCAAGCAAATTTCCCATAAATCCATATACACAAATAAGTTCATGAGGAAAATTGACATTAAATACATAAGAGACTAGCAGCAACTCAAAAGCAAATCTAATACTCGGTATGGCTTCCAACCGTATAGCTGTATTATCGACTTATAATTAGAGTTATAATTTGAATTATAAATAGAGTGCCACAACACTTGAATAAAATCAGTAGAAAAACTTTCTCCTTCTTCAATAACTCAAGGGAGCTTTAAGACTGAGGTGTACCTAAATGTTTAAGTAAAATTTTAAAAATGCAGAAAATACAAAGCTCAAAAAAGTAATACTTTTTTATTATAAACCAAATTTAACTTTAAAAAAAAAATGCATAGAAAAAACTTACATTCATTTCTCTATAAAATAAAGCCAAAATTGCATTAAGATCCATTCTTGGACTCTTCTTGCCCTTCTGTGGAGGTGCTATCATAAGAAAAGGGAGCGTCTTAAATGCAAGCAAAGTTGCATCTTCTAAATAAAAATAAAAATAAATCAGGGAACAACTTGTATATACTTATAAACCTTCATAGGTAGATTATAAAAAAACCTTCTTTTGGATGAAATGGGTATATTACATAAGGAACTAATAAATGAAATAAGATGAGAAAGAGAAACTTTGCACTTTTGCAGATTGGCACATATTCAAGTTGCAGCAGCTTAGTACTTATGCAGATTGACATTTATGTTGTAAAAACTCTTATTTAAGTTATAAAGTTCTTATTTATTCATTCTCCCTACTTAGGGTAGTAGACATATATATACTTCCATTATATTAGTCTTTTGACAAAGTATTTTTGAACATTGAATCTCTTGCTAGTAACAAAATGTTTTGTTTGCAAGTGTTAAAGCCATCATGCAATGTAATATTACTTGATATCTCTTAAATGAAATGAAACTATTTTTGAAATTCCTCATTAGTTTCATTTCTAGGAGGGCCCATGTTGCATGTTTCAGAAGTTACAAAAAGATAATTTTTTTCTAAGTGTTTATCTTGTTTATATAATGTGTCTTGAGTGGCTCAATGCAATGTATAACACTACTTTCAAACTTACTCTTAAACAATAATATTTAATCTGCTCTAATGTCATTGAAAACTGATAAAGCAGCATTACCAATATCATCGCTCGGAATAACAGCCGATCAATGATCAGCAATGTTTGAAGAAATTTCGAAAAATTCAAGGAAAACCTATTTTTGTGAAATAATTACATTTGTTTGGCAAGCTTTGAAAAACTATTTGAGCGCTGCAATATAGGAAACTAATGATTATGAAATTACTGTTAACAGAAACAATTACTTCAGGTATAATGTAATAAGGAACACTGCTGCTTGTTCACAATGAAGAAACTAACAAAGGATCAATATATTCTATTGTTTTTTCAGGATAAGTGTAAACTTGATAAGTAGAATTTTCTGGGAAACTAGGCAATGAATATTCTGAAAAATTAGGCAATAAATTGTTACAATTATCATTTAATGGATTACTATACATTTTGGCTCAGGATTTTTATCAATGAAATCATTATCAATATTATGGTAACATTTTACATGTCTAATTAGCGACATATAAGCTGTACAGGTACATTTACAGCCATTCTGTAAACATTTAATTGAATAAACAATTTCGCCAATACTATTATGACGTTGTAGATGATTTTGAAAAAAAATCAATAGTTTGGTAAAAGTACCACATGTATAGCAAATAAACATTTTAATAACTTTTATCAGAATATATATATATATATATATATATATATATATATATATATATATATATATATATATATATATATATATATATATATATATATACATACATATACATATATATATATATATATATATATATATATATATATATATATATATATATATATATATATATATATATATATACATAGTTGCCATTGTGCATTTATTGCATATATTAATATAATTTTATTAGAGTGCTTTCATAGTATGATAAAATTATTTAAAACATTATTTCAACATGCAACATGACTAAAAATCATAATCATAACTAATAAAAATCATTATTGAATGATATATCATGCAATAATGATTTTTATTAGTTATCTCAGCAAAAAAAAAAAAAGATCTTTATGGTATACATATATATGTAGTTGTTAACATATGATAACTTAAATGGTTGTTGTTAATATAAGTAAAATACTGCTATTTTAACTAAAATAACACCATTATCATATTTATTTAATAATATTTATGTATTAAATATTTTCCATTTTGTTATAACATAAAAAAATTAACTTTAACAACATTAACATTAACGTTTAACGTTAACAATATTATTTAACAAGTTATGTTAACAACATTACTTTTGTTATGTTAACAGATTACCAGTTAACTAGTAATGTTATGTGATTTTATTTAAACCAATATTTTACACATTTTTTTTAGACTAATGTTATTATTTTATATAATTAATGTTATTATGTTATAATTTTTATAACTTCATAATAATGTTGTTAACGTATCTAAAGTAATTGTATTAACATTTTAATACAATATATATAAAATAATAACATTAGTCTAATTAAATAAAGTCACACAACTAATTCATGTAGTAATGTACTACAAACCGAAGGTCTTACCTAGCTTTTAACAACTGAAAATCGATATTTTCCTCGCTTAACATATTTAATACGATATTACTAAAATATTACAAACCAAATATTTCTTTATGAAAAAGTTAACTATGTATGTGTTTAAAATTACCATGCAGCAATAAAAGTTACACTAAAATTTTCAGTAAAACTGTAAATGGTTCATAAAAAAAAACATGTCGCTAAAAACATGATTCTAGCCTTTTTTCCGAATAATTCGATACGAGAATCCAAGAAAGTACAACACAAAGTGTGACTTTTTTACGCATATAATGAAGTTTAATTTCATAATTACAAGTGTGGCTTTAAAGCGCCCAAGTGTAGCCTTGAAGTACACAATTTGTGTAGCCAAAAAGACGCTACACTAAGTGTCGTGTTTTTTGTCCACGCTATTTTTAAGCGTGTAGTTGCAGGAGAATGCATTTCATTGGTAGATAAGAGTGGTAAATTATTTTGTATTGGTGTACCTATTACCCTTAGACTTTCACTTGGTTCTCCCATTAGAGTTCTATTTGTAACATATCTGGGCATGAAATCTTTTTGCTGCTTGTGGTTCAGACAGTAAATTATTGAAAATACTAATAATTTTTTCTAATACCACATTTTCATTTCTTTTATTTCTATATGCTTTTGTTACATATTTTTGAGGCATCTAAAAGATAAGAGAAATAAATTATTGTGGTATTTTCAAGCACCGGTCGAATGTTCCCCAGCTAGGTAGGTCAAATGTACCCCACACGTGTTATATATAAACAAACGCTGTTAAAACCCAAAATCAATTTTTTTAAAGTAAACCAAACACAAAGGTTTTTAACTCAAGATATCATTAAACAATAAACAACAAAAAAGTTTATGAGGTTAAAATTGGAAAAGAGATTCTTTGCGGGTTTATTAAAACAAAAAAAAAATTACCTTTTGCATCAATAATTACATTTTCTTCTATATAACTACTAATACTAATAAAGATGGATCGATACTTATTTCCAGCGATAGCTTGTTAAAAGACAAAACATGGATAAAAACTTTAAGTGGTAATTTTTATCATGTTGGGAAATATTTGAAAAGGTCGAATGTTCCCATTGGTCGAATGTTCCTCGTCTTCCCTATTGGGGTAAAAACTTATTGGTTAGTAGAAAGAACAAAAAGTAGCTTATAAAGATTAAACCAAAAAGAGACAAAGAAATAAGAAAGCCAGGTGTACAGCTATTTAGTATGAAGACAAAAAGTAAAAAAAAATTAACTTAATATCTCAAAACAATATAATCGATTATTTAGTAGAAGAGAAGTAAGGCAAAAAATACTGGTAAAAAGCAAATAAGCGAGAAGGAAAATAAGGGAAATTGCACAGGAAAAACTAAATTAAAATAAAATAAAAATTACTATATTAAACTAAGATAAAAACTACAGATAAAAACTCTAAAAAAAAATCTAAAAACATGCGCGTCCTAAAATATGTCTTGTCAGTTCAAAAGTCAAAAACTAAAAAAAGATTTATAAACAATTGAAAACGATTGAAGCAATGTAAACTAATGATTGTAACTATTTATTTTTAAATTGCGCTTAAACAATTTCTTCAACTTTTTGATTGTATTACTGATCAAGTAAGAAAATCTTTATCAAGGAAAATTTAACTTAATCAAGGAAAATATGAACTATTTTTCAACATTACTTCAATGTTATTACTTTCATTTTAAATCCAATTGGATTAAACATAAAAAACTATATACCCACAAAAGTTTAGTTTACCCAGTGTAATCAATATAGTGTGAATATTAAACTAGATCGCTTAAAAAAACAATTACTCATAAGAGAAGATTATGGTAGTTTAGGTATGAATCAACCTCAGTTTGAGATGATTAAGATTTTATATTAGAGAAACATAAAGTGTAAAGAGAAGCATAAAAGGGGTGGCTTAATTGGTGATAATGATGATGATCGTGATAATAATCATCATTTCTTGGTAATGTTTTGTAAAAGATTATTTAATTGAAGTAAAACATTTTATTTTTAAGTTAAAAAAAGACAAAGAAAAGGAAGCTGAGCATAAAGAAAAACAAAAGACATTGTTTTCTCCAAAACCAAGCAAGGTATAATTCCTGCTGTTTCACTAAAAAATTTTCTGTTTGAGGTTGCTTTTTCTAATAAAATAATTATTTGATTTAAAGATACCAACTCTTCCTGGAAAAAATAATAAACCATTGTTGACAACGCGATCAGAATATGCACAAAAACAAAGCAAGGTATATAGCTTATTATACTATTATTTAAGATCATTTTTAATTTATTTGTTTTGCTACAGTTATAAAAGTTTTTAAATATTTTATGCGAAATCTTAAATATGAAATATAATATAGTTTATTTAGATTTAGCACCCTTAACTATACATCAGCTTACAAAAATCTGTTAAACAAACAGCTTTTTGGTAATTTTTTCATATTAAGTCAGCACTTTAAAATAAAATTTCTAATAAGTACATTAAATCACACAATTATGAAAAGTAGTTGAACAATTTTACATTTGGGAGTAATTATTTGAAGCTTTATGAAAATAATGCCAATTTTTAGCTCAAAAATAATCGGACAAAATTAAATACATTTAGGGCATTTCCATTTCTGTGCGTGGTTTTTTATTTTTCTTTGTTTTAGCAATTAAAAGCTGGGACTTTATGCAATATGCATACTATTTTGATTTTCTTAAAGAACAATTATAACAAAAATATTTTTATCATATTTTAGGCTATCTGAACAAATTAAATATACACATTTTTACAATTTTATTTTTTTGAGTAATAATATCGCTACATTTTGAAAAATATACAATAATTTTCAAAACGCCATACTCTAGCTAGAAATAATTGATGACTACGGTTTCTCACCGAAAATATATTAAATATGAGTCGCAGAAGTATAATATTTCACTTGAAATACTCACAAGCAATTTATTTTTATAAAAATAACTACATGAAATTGACAAATTTGCAACATACGTGCGTGACTTCCGTGCGTGACTTCCGTGCGTGATCATTCATAAACTGCATTTAAACGATTGCTGTGACTCTATGATTCATAGTGCAATCCTGTAATTTTCTGGAAATCTTTACTAATGTTTAAAATATTATTTAAAAAAAAACTATACCGGCGAAACTTATATCGAGGAATTAAAGTTTATTTATCTAGTAACTAAAATAGAAGTTTTTCTGTTCCGTGCGTAATTCCATTTCAAACTTTATTTATTCTTTGTTAACATTACTAATGCTTACTATTTTTTGTTTACAAAATATTTATATTAATTAGAATTAAATGAGAGTAAATTGGAGATCGCTAGTTTTATTTTTGTGAAAATCAAAATGTAAAAACATACGAGTTTCCGTGCGTGATTTTTTGGAAATGCCCATTATTAAAAAGTATAATTGCCTCAACAAATGGTGAGTTTTCTGTTTTTTTTATAATGACTTCTGTTGCATAATGTATATAATCGGTATCTTGGTTGGAAAACATTTTCCAACAATAGCATTTTATCTGTATGGCATTCAATCAACCAAAATAATTTAAAACATCAATTGCTTTCAAGTTATACTTGAAAAGTTTTTCAACAATGTTTTGCTGTTTGGTTTTTTTTAATATTAAACATATTTTACTTATATCATGTTTTGATATCGGGTTTCAAACAGTTATGGCTTCCATGCTGTATAGTGTGCTACTTTTAAATAATATTTTTTTAATGAAGTGGGTAAAATTACTTTTAAAAAATAACCTAAAAGTTATATATCAACCTACAATAAACATTCAATTGTATGCTTAATGCTAAACTGTTATAATTATATAATTAAATATTTAAGGCAGATTTATTTTTTGTAACATTTGCAAAAACTTAGAATAACAAGAAGTTTTTGGTAAAATATAAATTCTAGCATAAAAATTTCAGAATAGACTGAATTAGTCCTTAAAATCACAGACCTCCAAATTTTAAAATTAAAAAAAAAAATTAAAGAGAATATGAATAAGCAGAAAATATAACACATGATAATAGAGTTATAATAATAATAAAGTTATATTCATTAAATACATACTATGGTTATTACAAAAAATAATTTCTGCAGTTCTTAGTTATGAGCATTAAGTTGAATTCCCGACAAATTAACCAATCAAAATTAAAAAGGATTGAGTTTAGAGTTAGTTAATCACAGGGGCCCTGGCTAAATATGGGACTTTTTACAAACCCAAGCCCCGGCCCAGTAAAAAAAAAGATTTAACAGAGGGTAAATAAAAAATTTATGCATATATTTACTATTTATTAAATACTGACATATGTATGGTTATAAATATATGTTTGCTATTTTTTGTATGCTGGCATCAATACATATTTTTATAAACTTTAGTAGGGACAAGTTACCCATAGAGGAACACCTAAAGGTTAAATATTTTTAAATCCAAGATACAGACTTGGTCGGGAAGCGGGAGCGATTGGTCTCGAATACTGACCCCAGTAAGCACATGAACGTTTTTAAAACATTTTTTTAACTAAGAAAAAAAACGTTTTTTAAACGTTCTGAATGGCAATACCTAAAAAACGTTTTTAAAAAAGCGTTTAAAAAACGTTCTGAAAAAGTCGTTTAAAAAACGTTCTAAAACAAACGTTTAAAAAGAAATCTCAAATAACCTAAATAAAACCATAATTTAGGCGTCTTTTAAACTTTAAAAAGACGTTATTTTTTAGAAAATATTCCCAAATCCATAGGTACTATTATTAAATTGTTTTTAAAAGAACCAGTTGGTTTAAAAAACAAGAAAAATAAAAAATTTATTCAATAGTTATTTTTAAATTTATTTTTCAAAACAATTTACAAACAAAGTAATATTATAACGATGGATTTAAGGCACTTTAAGACAAGCAAAAGTTGCCCGTTTTCACGAATCAGCAATTATTGCATCGTCAATCGACTCAGTGTATGATTCGTGAGAAGTCGATGCACAAACTAAAAGAAAAAACTATATATTTAAAACAGACAATCTGAACAGTAATAATAGTATTATAGTATAATAATAATAATAGTATAATAATAATAGTAATAAGTTTTTAAATTACAAATATGTTTTAAAAATATATATATAACTTCACATTGCATATATATATATATATATATATATATATATATATATATATATATATATATATATATATATATATATATATATATATAAATATACATATATATATATATATATATATATATATATATATATATATATATATATATATATATATATATATATATATATATATATATATATATATACACACACATATATATTATATATATATATATATATACACATACATATATATATATATATATATATATATATATATATATATATATATATATATATATATATATATATATATATATATATATATATATATATATATATATATATATATATACATTTATATATATATATATATACATATATATATATATACATATATATATTGCGTACTAAAGTAAGCAATCTGACGTCATACTGAAATAGCCTGCTGCTGGGGGCTTCAGTACATACATCGACTGACAAATAGCCTGACTCGCAGTCCACTGCGAGTCAGGCTATTTGTCAGTGCTGCTACATCGACTGAGGGTCTGGGATGGGAAAGCAATCGTTTTATTCATCATTCTTTGTTTTTTCTTCTTTTTCGAAAAAAATGGTAACAGGTTAGTATTCGGTAAATTTGAAATACAATCCCGCCTAATAACTGTTATATATAGATTTATATATATATATATATATATATATATATATATATATATATATATATATATATATATATATATATATATATATATATATATATATATACATATATAAAAACGTACCTTTTATTAAATTGTATAGCTTAGTTAGGCTAAAAAGATCTTTGCCTTTTCCAGCTGCCATATTAGATTTGGCCATGAGCGAATTTGTCACAAATCTAAAAATAATATATTTTAATAATATTATATCTTATAATTTATGAAATTATGATTAACTACTGTATTTAAAATTTTTTTCTTTTTTCCCATAAAATCTAAATGTAATTAAACATTTAGATTTTAATTTAACAATACAGTTTATCTATTAATTAAATCTAATCTACTATTTAAAAAATAGCACACTAACCATTAATATAGTCCAGATCATAAGTGTACACTAACCATTAGTGTAGTCATATATATGAATATTATCTGGGTTAAAAGAATTATCTGGACTAAAGTTTAAAGCTATAGGATAACCTATAGCTTTAAACTTGCAAACTGGTAAAAGTGTAAATTGGCATTAGTGCGCCAAACAGGTTAGCAAACATTACGAATAGGCTTAAGTGCAAAATTTGATTACGTAAAAAACAGTTACAAAAACTGGCAGAAGTGCTAACTGACATAAATGCTTATGCCATTTGGCATTGTGCCAGTTTTTGTAACTGCTTCGCACATGTGCTACTTTGAGCGTATGAAATTCACGGTTATTCAGTCGTCCCATTATGGTAAAACGGCTAACGTAGAGCCATGCATGGGATTTGTATAATGGATTGTAAGATGGGAGTAATATCATTATAAAATTAAACAGAGTATTTATAGGAATGCACTTTTAATTTACTAACCTCTTCATCATAGCTATCACAAGTTTTTGACAGTTCTTACCACTAATATTTTGAAATCTTGGTTTCTAATAGAAAGAAATAATGGAAATCTGACAATTCCTAATTAAGTAGTAAAAATTATATATTGTAAAGAAAATTAAAAAAAAAAGAAAAATCTGTCAAATCAGTATTTAGCAATTTACAACTGCAGAGATACTACAGAGTTACTAGATGAAACATTGTCAAGTGCTGAGTCAAACTTATCAAATTTTATTATGCTTTTAATTTCAGTTACTACTTCTTCTTCACACTACTTTATATTAAGTTTTTTGCATCCTTGGGTATTTATCTCATTTAAGAGAAGCAACACATAATATTGAAAGTCTAAACAAATTTACACTAATTAAATTTTACATTGTCTTAACTAAACTACGTAAATAAATTTAAAATACATAAATTTAACAATTTAACAACTTTACTGGTCTAAGCCTAAATCAGAGAAAAACTAATAGACAGTAAAATACCTAATAGTGGCAATGCTATATTATATATATTAGCATTTTTCTCAGATTTCGGATTAGACAAGAAAGATTGTTCCATAGATTTATAGTTTTGATAATATTGAAATAATGGATTTCATGAAGGTGATTATTTAAAGTTGAAATTGGAACCTCATCATTTTAATGATATTTTTTAATATTGACAGTCATGTTAGCATTTTACAACAAACATTACATTATTATTTTTAACTAAAGACTTACTTGCTTGAGATAATGGAAATCCATAATGTTTATCCTTTTTATTTAAAGATGATGAAGATTGATGTGTCTTAAAATGAATCTCTTGGTCATCACAATCAATATCATCTTTGTTTATTATTTTTTGACCTACACAACACAAACATAGAGAATATTTGAATTTTATCTAACAACTTGTCTTCTCATGTAGCAATTTTACAATTAAAAAATTTTTACAAATTACTTTACAGATTATTAACTTTATAAGTAAAATAGGGTATATAGTATGGTATATAATATTATAGGTTTCATACTGCTAAACATTTGGTAATGACACCAGAATATCATTAAAGAATAAAAATTTTAAAATGACATTTTGAAGTAAGTCACTCCCTTTTTTGAAACAAATCATTATATTTTTTCCTTTCAGCCTTTTTTAACTATAGTAATTCCTTTATAAAAACCACTGATATTATTTTTAATTTTTAGAGTTAAAGAAGAAAAAGTCTGAGAATGTTGTTCCCTTTTTTCAAATCCAAATAGATTTTTTTGCGTTAAAAGCAGTTGATAATTAAGTAGAATTAAAAACTTAATCTAGTTTTTTTAAGCATTCAAGTTTACTCAACAATTAAGTTACTTATTAGAGTAAAATAATCTAGCTAACCACACCATTAAAACTTTATTAATCATATCTACTTGATTCAAGTAGAAATACAAACACAACCAAGTTTCAACGAAGGCATACAACTTTAAACTAAAAATACTCCAATATATTTTCAAATTTAATTCTACAAAAAAACAATACAAACACTTGGTTGATTTAAATATATACTAATTTATATATTTTTACTTAAATAAATCAATTCGCCTAATCGAAGGTCACGCCATTATTTGCGTAAACATACTCTTTTAAATATTGCCGTTTAAATATTACGTTTAAAAAAAGTTTTTTTATCACGTTAAAAAAAACGTTTTAAAAACGTTCATAAGCTAACCGTAAGTTAATTAAAAAAATAAAACGTTTAAAAAACGCTAAAAAAACGTTTAAATTAACATTAAAAAAAACGTTTGCAAAAAAACGTTTTAAAAACGATTGTATTGGTTCTTTTAACGTCCGACCGTAAATTGAACGGAATTAAAACGTTTTAAAAACGTCCTGTGCTTACTGGGACCACGGTAATTATATTTAGTTGCGAAAAACTAGCCAGGTTTTTTAGTCGTTTTGAGAACATTTAAGTTTATTTACGAAACAAAAAATTTTTGTTTTACGGACATACATGGAAACATAAAAAACTTAAATATTCTCAAAACATGTTGGTGCGAAAGAATAAAAATACGAATATTCGCGAACACTAAAAACCCGCCAAATTAAGGAACAAACTAATTCTATTGGTTCAAAAAATACGCTGACTAAGCGAAATAAAGTTTCAAAGCATTCTGTTGAAATTTTTTAGAAATTACATTATGCACGATTTGTTACGTTTTTCAGATTTCTAGCATAAATCGTTTTAAGAAAACTTAATCACAGGGACTCTGTGATTAAGTTAATCACAGGGGCCCTGTGATTAAAGGGCATTTTTTATGATATAAACAAAGACTTACAAAAATAATTGCGTTTTCTATAAAGTTATAATCGTTAAAGTTAATAAAACTAATCATGTAACAATTTGTTACATGATTAGTTTTATTAACTTTAATTTTGTTACTAACAAACATGTAAGAAGTTTGTTACTAACAAACATGTAAGAAGTTTCTGGTTACTAAACACAAACAACGCATACAAAGTAACTCGCGGATGAACTAGCACCACGCCTGAGGTCACGACAGAACACAAATATATATAGCAAATAATTAGATATAAAGAAAAGTTTCTAGATATTGGTTTACTAATTCTAATTATTTTTGCTTCTTTTTGCCATTCTTAAAAACTTGTTACACGTTTTTCTGCTTTAATTACTAATTAAAAAGCAATTACTAATTAATTACTAATTAAAAAGCCCACTCACTAAACATCATCAGCGATATTGTGAAGCAGTTTCGCTTCCTCGTCATATTTTTAACCTTTTTAGTTGATTTCTATCTTGTTTATTTAATTTCTATAGTAATTCAATGATTTAATTATTTCATTTGTTTATCTTACTAAGAAGAATTGCTTCAAATATGTTAAACTTTTCAAACTACGCGAAACGTAAAATAGGTATTAAAAAAATTAATTTTTTTAGTTATAAAATAATTTAGCTTAAATAAAACTAAATCTTGCACACTTTGTTTAATAAAGAATATTTGTTTCCTTTTTAAACAAACGTAAGATGTTACTTTGCATAAAAAACATCGCTTAATTTTATAATAAATTATAAAAGCGATGTTTCAAAAATATTTGTTCTAAACGTAATTTATTTAGCTTTAAGTTTTTTCGCGTTTAAAAATATTTTATTTGCCCAACTTTTTTTTTTGTAATTGTCTCTGATCGGTCCAATTGATCTTTAGCGCTTTTTTTTTTTGCTTTTAGAAATGTTCTCAAAACGACTAAAAAATCTGGCCAGCTTTTCGCAACTAAATATTTTTTACGTGGTCAGCATCGAGAGCGATCGCTCCCGCTTCCCGACCAAGCCTGAAGATAGTTTAGCTATAAAAACATTTTTGATTTAATTACACAAACAGAAAACCCTTCTTTACTTTTAACTATAGTTTGCCTTAATTGATTGGACTGTTATTGGAAATAAATTCAGCTTTTTTTGAAATACTTTTAATTTGGAGCAGTTTTCTTCTTTTGAAAAAATACTTAGTAAAATCAAGAGAATTCATTAATTTTTATCATCTTAACATTGACAACTTAAACTGTTTATTCAAAATATACAATAGGATTAAAATTACCCAGGCAAAATGTAATTATTTTTAAATTGCGCTTAAACAAATTCTTTTACTCTTTAATTGTATCACTAATTAAGAAAAACTTTATAGTTCTAATCAAAGAAATTTTGGACTATTTTTTTACAATAGGATTAAAATTACCATGGGTATCATCTATGTACCTCAAAAACAATTTTATTTCTAGAATTAAGCGCCATTTCGATTGATTTGCAGGAAACCTTCCACAATTATTACCATGAGTGAATGTCCTATTAGACCTAAATCTACAAGCTCATGAATTTATACATTTCATAAAAAATAACATTTATATAAACCCAGTTCTATTAGTAATTTTATTAAAAAAACACTTAGTTTTGTTAGTTTTTAATTTAAATTTGGGTAGAGCCCTAACATATCAAAATGAATTTTTGTGTACTCTCCCAGAGGGATTGATGTATATAAATTAACAAAATTTTGGGCGCCATCTTTTTTTACTTAAATAACATTAAAGAAACCCAAATAAAGTGAACTTTAAAGAAGCTATTTAAAGGTGAAGTTACTGTTTCTTTAAAAAATAATTAACAGTTTGTAATTAAAGCTGAAGATGCTAGTTTTAAAAATCATGCAAAAATTTCTTAGATTTAATAAAAAAATTAGTATTCAGAGAATTCGTATTTATTGATGTTTCATATATTAAATTAATTCAACTCTCATGCAAGATGTTGTCTGTTACGTTCCCAACAAGCCAAATCCAATTGGACTAAAAAATTATGTTCTTGCCAGTCCAAATGGCTTAGTTATAGATTTTATTGTGGACCAAGGGGCAAGAACATATAATCCTGTTCCAGATCATTTCAAAGTGGGAGTTGATGGAGCTGTAATTGCTCATTTAGCAGAAGGGTTGACAGCTGGGACACATATTTTTTGTGATCGGTATTTTACCAGCTTCCCATTGATTGAATACATGCTAACTAAAGACATGTACCTAACTGGGACAATCATGGGAAATAGAGTTCCTAAAGAAATTAAAAAATGTAGATGTATCACGGCCAGTTATCATTAAGGAATATAATGCAAAGATGGGAGGTGTAGATCTTTGTAACCAAATGATGAGTCACTACCGGATGAAAGCCAAGACCAGGAAGTGGACAGTTCGAGCCATAATGCATTTCATTGATCTACCCCTGACAAATGCATGGATTAGGTATCGAACTGACAAAAGTGAACTTGGTACTGCTCGCAAAGATATCCTCAGTTGTCTAAAGTTTTAAATAGATATTGCAGAAGTCTTTCTTGCAGCAACAAAAGTTGAAAGCTCAGAAACTGATATAGAGGAGGAGCAACCTGTTACAAAAAGAAAACAAATGTTTTCTTTTTGTAACAGGTAGTAAGATAAACTACAGATTTCATCAATGCATTATTATCCGTTAATCACATGCCAGAAATGGAAAATTGCAAGAACTCATCACGATGCAAAAATACTGGATGTTCAGGCAAAACAAGATTTAGGCGCATGACTTGTAATGTGCACCTTTGCATAACAGCAGATCGGAACTGCTTTGCTGCATTCCATTCCAAAAAATAGAACACTGATAAATATTTACTAACTTTTTTAGTATTTTAGATTTTTTAAATTTTTAGAATTTATTTTCAAATTTTGTTTTAATAATGATTCGTAACATTACAGCAAACGTTTTATGTTTTATTCTTAAATTTGTAAATGTAAACATTTTAATATTTATGCTATTACATTTCAATGTCCATTTAAGTGGACATCATTAATTATGTTGAAAATATTGTACGAAAAAGCTAAAAGTTTTTTGGTAGTCTATTTATGTCTCTATGATTTAGAAACAAATAAAAAATATTGAAATATTTTTGTAGAACTAGCGTGGATCTGAAGAAGTAGCAACTATGATTTTGTCGCTACAAAGTAGCAACTATGATTTTGTCGCTACAAAGTAGCAACTATGATTTTGTCGCTACAAAGCAAAATTAGCTAAGCTATCTTGCTTAAAAATACTCCTTAAACAAATTCATTAAATATTTGCAACTATGAGTAAAATACAAATATTTTATGTTCTAAAAAAAATAATTAAGAGACATCGTTGCTGCAAAGCAAAACTATCTTAAGTCCATTTTTTGGCAAAAAAAACTTTTTTGGTTTAATATACTTATTACATATAATAAATAACTGAAAACAAGTAGATTTATTTAAAAAAATCAAAAGCAAAACTTCAAAACAGACTTAAGATGGTCTTGTTTTGCAGCGACAATTTAGTTTGTAGAATTTTGCCATATCTTATATAGTTTCAAGATTATCTTATTTCCATTTACATTGTTGCTTCACTTAAATTAAAAAATATTTTTGGTTATGTTATGGAAAATAATAACATATTCTATAAGTATTTTAAAAACAATTTGATTTAATTAAGAAGATCATATGCAGTAATGAGTTAAAAACTTTAAATGCATTTTTCTCAGAACAGCAAAAATGGATTTAAGATAGTCTTGTTTTGCAGTGACAGTTTCTCTCTAGTCTCCACTTAGATTAGCTTAAATAAACTTGCAATATTTGTGAAATTTTAAAATCTATTGCAACATTCTTGATAAGATTATAAAAGATCTTTATACATAAGTAAATACAAAAACTTATTTGTATTTGTTTTTTATTTGTTTTATTCAGAAGTTTAACATTTTTTTCTTGAAGTTATTTTAATTTTTGAAATGGCATAAACAATGTTTTATTTTTTATTTTAATGAGAACTAATTACTTAATTAATAGCTATATAATATATAGGAAGTAAGTTCCTGTTACAATCAATCCAAAAACGATAAGTAATTAGTTCTCATTAAAATGAAAAATAAAACATTGCTTATGCCATTTCAAAAATTAAAATATCTTCAAGAAAGAAATGTTAAATTAAACTCTTATATATAATATACACTAACCAGTTGCTTTTGAATATATGGAGTAATTTTTAGCATGTTGCACAGTATATTTTAAAAAGCTGCTTGCAAAAAAAAAAAAAAAAGTCATGTTAACTTCTTTTAATTACAATCTTTCTTTTTTTTTTTAAACCTGATCTATATCAAACATGCTTTAAATGTAAAATTATAAAAAAGTGTTTTCAATTTAAAATGCAAAAGTTTGACACAAATCAGTAGATCAGGTTTTAACAAATAATTAAGTAGAACTCAATATTTTTTCAAGATTTTGAAGTTCTTGAATTTTATTTACTTTTACTTTAATAACTTTTTTTACTTAAGTTAATAAGTATTTTGAAAAATGCAAAGTCAACAGAAGATGCTTTAAAAAGTTTTGCTTAACCAACTTCTTAATCCACGGATCTATTTTAAACAACTCTTTGATTCAACCATTGGTTGGTTCATTATCTGGTATTTGGGGTAAGTATTTCGTATCTATTTAATTTTTATTTAAAGTATTAATCTAATAGATTATATTTGTTATTTTTACCCATGTATAATTCTGTGATGAGTTTTTCAATTATTTTCTTGTTTTTTAATGTTTGGTGTTGTATGCAGGTATATAAACATTTGGGTGTAAAATATATAAACATGTATTTATTTTTATAAAGTGTGGAACAGTTTTTTAAACATAGACATGATCCCTTTTGCCGTAAATAAAGTTTAAAAATAAAAAAGATCTGCTAAAATCTTGAAAAGTGCTTTATTTATGCAGCACTAATTTTTTTTAATTTTTTTAATTTTTTTTTTATTTAATTCACCTCCTCAAGGCCGAGAAGGCCACTACAGACGAGGAGGCTACTTATTTGTGGTTATAACCCTCTCTCAACTCTATAACTCCGAAACACAAACCTTGATGAACAAGGCCGCTGCGCGGAGAAACGAGTTGAGCGCGGTACTACCAGGGATGTGGTGGGGGTCGAACTCGGAACCACTCGTTTATGAAGCGAGCGCTCTACCACTACACCACTACCGCATATTGAAATGGAAAATTACACAAGGAAAAAACTAGATGAATAAAAATTTTTGGTGCACTTTTAACATTCACTGTAAAAAAATCACACTTAGTTGAATGATGATAATGAATTTTAAGAGATGACACAAGAGACACTATCTTTTTAGAGCAGCGCCCATTGTAGTATTTATAGAAAAGAGAAAGAGAAGCAACATTACAACTGTGTGACAATGGTTGAAGATTGACTGCAAGAGCAGGTCCAACTGTTTACGATACATTTTCAGTTGATTCTTTTTTTTTTTGAATAAAAGTTTGTTTTAAATAACAGAAGTTTTTTTTGAATAACGTAACAGAAGTTATGTGCCATGGCATTATTTCATTCTAAAGTTTTTTTTTACATCCACAATTTTTGAGTGGCTAATGGGTTATACAACTGAAAAGGCTTTATTAGTTGGTAGTTCAAAGTCTCCCATAATGTTTTGTAAGTAAAAAAAGTCACTTATCAATCCAGCAATATGCATTTTGCATTCAATTTCTCCTTCTTCATCAGGAAAGAGTGACATCTCATAGTATATTGAGATTGTGAGCATTATTTTGTTAGGTTTTGCTACATTTTCCACATAAGAGTCATTGATTAAGAATGTTCTCTTATAAAAAATCGTGGGCCGCCAGTCATCATATTTCCCCATATGTTATTCGACAATTTCAGGTCAATAAAATCTTTAAACAACATTTTTTTCACAGAAAATCTTTCAGGAATTTTTGTGGAACTATTAATCAATTACCTCATATCTCTACTTTTCTTAGTCTTCTTACTTTTCTTAGTCTTTAAAATTCCATAATCGTGGTCATTAGGCATAAACAAATGTCTAATAACAGAAAACACCAAATTTATTATATTATAAATAGCCATCATTAGTCTAACAAAGGGGTGGTTCTCGTTCTGACCAGCAAGCTAATCACCAAAAAAGTACAAAGTTCAAATTTCATTTTAAGTTTTGTTTTTCATGTACCACATAAACATAGAACATACTTTCAGAGAGCAGTGTTGTGAATTTAGAAACCATTCACAGTGAGTTTTCTGAAAAAACAAGTATCTTGTACTAATATGCACAGTAATGCTACATAATCCATATAATTTACACATGGTCTTACTTGTTTATGGTTTTTTTTGGTTGATGGTTTATAAACATCTCATTTTTTTCTCAAGTTAGCTGGAAGTTTTCTTTATCTCTTCCAGTATAGCGTTCAGTTTTTGTAGGATTTTGTTTATTATAAGTTCTCAAACAAGTGATTACTGTGCACAGTGAGCCTGAATTCACTTTTACTGGACAATACTAATAACTTGTTATATAACAAAGATTTAAGGGCCATTTTTGTACTATTTACTAATTTAAGGAATGTGTTTTTAATGGTTTTAATTTTGGATTACTATAGATACCTAAATTGTTTAGCAACCACATATTTTAATAATTATAATAAATATTTGCTGGTTTAAAGTAATAACTTAAAAAAAATTTATCGGATTACTCCCATAATTATCAGATTGAGTATTTTTTTATACTAGGAATGTTGTGGCACAATGGATTTTTTATTTGGTTGATAGTGACACCTGAAATGCCTTGCAATCATTCGTTTTTCATAGTTACTAACTTAAGTGACTTTCTTAATGAAGATGTTGTACCACTTCATGTCTGTTTAATAAAATATGATGTAGACTTTGTGGCATATAAATACCATGAATACAGTTCAACATACCTTTTTGCCGCATTCATACAGTACAATTGGAAAGCCATTGAAAAAGTTCATTTTGTAGCCATTGTTTGTTAGTCTCTTCGAAACAAATTTCAGAGCTTTTGCACATATGCTATCTTTATCTAAAAATATAAATTACAAAATATTAAAAATAGGTAATTTAAGATGTATAAATATCAGAAAAGTTTGTAACACAAATCATTACACAAATAATTGTGTCTCACTGAGACACAATTATTGTGTAAACATTTAGTATAAAATGCATTTACTATTTTGACTGCATAAAATAAGATACATCATTTAAATTGTAAAATTCATTATTAGAGACCATGCAAACATCTGAGGATAATCAATCAAATTTATATTGATTTATAATCAATCAAATTTATATTGTATATATTAAACATATTGAACATTGTATTTTAAGTCTTAAATTAAAATTTAAAAAATGTAGTGGTAGAGGGCTTGCTTCATAAACAAGAGGTTCCGAGTTTGATCCTCACCACATCCCTGGTAGTACCGCGCTCAACTTGTTTCTCCACAGCCTTATTTGTCAATGTTCTTATTTCAGAGTTATATTTGTAGAGAGAGGTTATAACAATAATTAAGTAGCCTCCTTGTCTGTAGCGGTTTCTCAGCCTTGGGGAGGTGAGATAACATAAAACAAAAGATAATATACAAATATAAAAATAATGATGCATTAGAAGTTTTTTTTTTTAATTATGATTATTTTTTTCAATTTTTTTTTTGAACAACTTCATATCTAAAATTTTGTATACATAGCTATTTTGTTGTAGATGGAGAGTCAATTGTACATAAAATATGATTTAATGGGACCAACAATAAAAAAAGTTAATGCATTCAAAATAAAGCCTAGTAAAGTTTTTATACTTACAAAAATGTTTGTCCAATAAAAAAAAAATTAACATTAGTAAATAAAATTATTATTTCTAATTATTGTTCTATGAGTCCTCCAAAATACTTAATAGAAAATTCTATTAAGTATTTTAGAGTTCTATTGGCAATTTTTCAAAATTTATATGTTTTTTAATATTTGTTTTTATATAAACACAGACAATATGTAAACAGGGCTTGGTGATAAAACAGTATATGTTTTCCACACAGCCATTTATTTTACCATTATTGTTGATGGAACTCCGAATGTGTCTCATGTAACATATCAATTTTGTTTTTTGATTTGTCCGCCTAGGATCTGACAACCAATGGATAGTAAAAGAGCGTTTTCTGAAGGTAGAAAATTTGGAGAAAAAAGGGGTTTATATGTCCGGTGTATACAAAGGAGTACACGTCATCATTCTTGTGAAAAATCCTCAAGCTTTGTTTATGCCTTGCAGTGCACATAGTCTCAATCAAGATGGAGTACACGCATAGAGGCTGTCCAACCATTGTCAAAACAACCAAAAAAAATCCTTACACTGACACGCTGCTCCAGCAGATAAAATACAGAATAGATACAACTCAAAAAACAATGGATATGTTTTTGTTCATATGGTGTTCTCCATCTCCTTCTAGTGATGAAAAAAAACTTGTAAAGAAAAATGTCAAGTTCTAGCAAATCTCTACGTAAATGATGTAAAAGAAGAGAAGTTGATTGAAAAAATCCATCATCTAGATGTTCTGAAGCAATCAAATACTTTGGACAATATTGATCTCTTTCTTCTATCAAGTTGCTCAACAGAATCTACCAGAAAAGTCTTCAGTCAATATTTTTTTCGATTTGTATTTTGCTTCACATTTTTAATACATTCCCGGTTTCAGTGGCTGAAGGAGAGCGCTCTTTCAGTAAGCCTACTCTCATCAAATCCAAATTGCAATCAATAATGACTGAAGAATGCCTTATTAACCTTATGGTGATTTTAATTGAAAACAACCTTGCCTAGATTTTATTGTATGAAAATGTCATTTCTAGTTTCGCATTGAAGAAAGCCCACAAAGTGAAATTTTATTGGACAAACAAAACTAAATTGCTTCTGCAGCTAGTATTATGTAAATGAATAGATTTTTTAATTTGAGGCAGTGTTTACATGCAAACAACAACACACATAGATGGTGGATTAACTAAAATTAACTCGTTTTTTTACAGTTCTATTTATTCTAGACACATTCAGATACAACTTTAATAAACTGAAGTATATTATTTTAATAAACAAATAATTCTAGCAAAACAAAGTGTTGCAGAATAAAACAATACAATTCAAAATAAGGAGTAAAAACTTCGTGTGCTTATGTTTATGTTTGAAAACTGGTTCAAATCTTTAAAGTGTGTCATTAAAAGTTGTACTTTCTACTGTAACTATTAACAGTTACTGGTCGGTTTCTTTTCAACAGAAAAAAAACTTCAAAACTGTGTATGTGGCTGTAGTTTGTCAATGAAAATTAACTTTAATATGTTTATGTTAACTGGTTTGATAATATGTGCATTTATTTAGTTTCCCTATTTTCATCTAACTTTAACATCATTCAAGAGTTTACACAGAAATAGAAGAAAAAAGAAGCTCATATAAAAATGTCCTAAATTTTTATAGGATTACTATGAATTGTGATACAGACAATGATTTATTGAATTTATTGGTCAGAGCTTGAATTTATTGGTCAGAGTTTGACAGGTTAAAAATTTCTCCTGGGATTTTTATGGTAAAGATGTTAAGCTCAGGGTTTTTTTTAAATATCAGCAAGTACTGGGGTTAAACATCAATTGGATAGCCATTTGCAAAGCCCTTTTGCAAGTTTGAAATAAGTGTCTTTATATTTTTCAAATGGTTATTTTGAAAGTCAAGTATAAAAAAAGTCCTTAAATTTTGCATATAGTCTAATTGCTATCTGCCCCTCTGTAAGTCCTTGTTAAGCAAAATTTATTTCTTATTGTAATAGTATTATCAATAGAATTTTTTTTTATCAATTAAAATGTTTTTGGTTGGAAAAAAATAAAGTGAATATCTTTTACAATTTTTTTTCCTTTTATCAAAGTTGGATATATGGCAACAACTAGAGTTTGTATGACTTCGTTTGGTTGATTAAAAAAATTTTTTTCAATAATTTTTTTTATATTTTACCAATAGATTCAAACAATACAGGAGTTGAGTGTGCAATAAGAACTCGAGTTGTGGACGTGAATTTAACACCAGGATTCTTAGTCTATCCCGCTGCTATAGAAGTTAAAGAATGCAGTGGTAAAAATTTCAGATTACCATTTAAGAAATGCATTCCAACAGAATTAGAAAACACAATTCATACTGTTTGGGATATTAATTATGGTTAGAATTTGTTGACTTTTTAACTTAATAATTTAAAAAAGTGTGGAATAAGAAAACATCTAATTTTTTTTTTTCATAGATACAAATTCAACCAAAGCAAGAAATATTAGTATAGAAGAACCAAAGGGCTGTAAATTGGGTTGCATTATAGATTCTTCTTACTGTTCTCCTGCTCATGTTTTTGATAAAGAAAGTTGTGTTTGTACTTGTTCTTCAAATGTTCAAAAATGTACCGTTGATAAACAGGTAAGTTTACCTAATTGAATAATTGGTTTTGTTGGGATAGTTAAATGAATGTCTTATTGACATTCATGATATCATAACAAAGGTGAAAGTACCTTTTTTATTTATTACAAACTCATTTAAAAACATTTTTAGTGGTCTGCTATAAGTTGTGCATGTGAGTGCTCCAATACAGAATCGCCCGAGTGTCGTGTATCAGAAAAACCGAGTCCCATTTCACGCAAATGTAGTTGAACAATCGATAAATAATAATAAAAAATTTTATTATATTTTATATATAGGAAATGAAAGCAATTTCTGTTTGTTAGTTTTTTTTTTGGTGGCAATTTTCATATTTTATTACATATTGATTTATGTGAACTTAATGGATTGGTTTTTGAAATTAATTTAAATTAAATTAAATTAATTTAAACTTAAATTTTACTTTATATAGCTATATTTTTTATTCACTACTTTTTTCAATTTAACTGAAAAACAATTTCACATTCAGGTTTCAAAATATATATGAGTAACAATTAAAGTTTATTATTTCTATTGTTTAGTTATTTATTTCTATTGTGTGAATTTATCATTAAATTAGTTATAGAGTTATGAGGGATATCGTTATGTAAGGAAACACGGTGCATAGGAACATGCTCTGAGACCTTGCAACACATCCTAAGATTTTTTGCTTTGTTTTTTTTATTATCAGAAGGCTCTTCCTTATTTCAAAAATGTAAAAAACAATTTTTTTCCCGGGGGCCTAGGGAGAAATCACGTATTTTAGGCGAGTGCTTAGTAATTTTTTGTTCAAGATAGGTAATTAAGAACTATGTGACAGACTCAATTTTTTAGTATGTTAATACTGGCATCAAATGAAGATGACTTGCAAAAAGTTTAGGTAATTGGAGCTAACCCAGTCCCGTCCCGATCCCTAATTGCCCCCTTCCTAGAACTACGTCTTCTAAAGTTATAAAAAAGAAATGTCATTGAAACAATTGATGAAATTTGAAATCTGTCGAATAATTTTAATTTAGTTTAATAAAACACAAAAGATATGAAAAATTTGTTTTAGGAATAGGTTAGGGTGGTTTGGTATTGGAGATCTTCTCTAACACCACAGAACTGCGTGTAAAAAACATGCCCGCAAGCATTTATTTCGAGTTTCAAATGTAAAACTGCAAACTGAACTAATAACTTTATTATTTACTTACTACTATTGCCGTTTCAGTTATTACTATTATTAAAATTTAGCTATTACAATTATTATTTCAAATATTAACAATTACCCAGTAAGCACAGGACGTTTTTAAAACGTTTTAATTCCGTTCAATTTACGGTCGGACGTTAAAAGAACCAATACAATCGTTTTTAAAACGTTTTTTTGCAAACGTTTTTTTTAATGTTAATTTAAACGTTTTTTTAGCGTTTTTTAAACGTTTTATTTTTTTAATTAACTTACGGTTAGCTTATGAACGTTTTTAAAACGTTTTTTTTAACGTGATAAAAAAACTTTTTTTAAACGTAATATTTAAACGGCAATATTTAAAAGAGTATGTTTACGCAAATAATGGCGTGACCTTCGATTAGGCGAATTGATTTATTTAAGTAAAAATATATAAATTAGTATATATTTAAATCAACCAAGTGTTTGTATTGTTTTTTTGTAGAATTAAATTTGAAAATATATTGGAGTATTTTTAGTTTAAAGTTGTATGCCTTCGTTGAAACTTGGTTGTGTTTGTATTTCTACTTGAATCAAGTAGATATGATTAATAAAGTTTTAATGGTGTGGTTAGCTAGATTATTTTACTCTAATAAGTAACTTAATTGTTGAGTAAACTTGAATGCTTAAAAAAACTAGATTAAGTTTTTAATTCTACTTAATTATCAACTGCTTTTAACGCAAAAAAATCTATTTGGATTTGAAAAAAGGGAACAACATTCTCAGACTTTTTCTTCTTTAACTCTAAAAATTAAAAATAATATCAGTGGTTTTTATAAAGGAATTACTATAGTTAAAAAAGGCTGAAAGGAAAAAATATAATGATTTGTTTCAAAAAAGGGAGTGACTTACTTCAAAATGTCATTTTAAAATTTTTATTCTTTAATGATATTCTGGTGTCATTACCAAATGTTTAGCAGTATGAAACCTATAATATTATATACCATACTATATACCCTATTTTACTTATAAAGTTAATAATCTGTAAAGTAATTTGTAAAAATTTTTTAATTGTAAAATTGCTACATGAGAAGACAAGTTGTTAGATAAAATTCAAATATTCTCTATGTTTGTGTTGTGTAGGTCAAAAAATAATAAACAAAGATGATATTGATTGTGATGACCAAGAGATTCATTTTAAGACACATCAATCTTCATCATCTTTAAATAAAAAGGATAAACATTATGGATTTCCATTATCTCAAGCAAGTAAGTCTTTAGTTAAAAATAATAATGTAATGTTTGTTGTAAAATGCTAACATGACTGTCAATATTAAAAAATATCATTAAAATGATGAGGTTCCAATTTCAACTTTAAATAATCACCTTCATGAAATCCATTATTTCAATATTATCAAAACTATAAATCTATGGAACAATCTTTCTTGTCTAATCCGAAATCTGAGAAAAATGCTAATATATATAATATAGCATTGCCACTATTAGGTATTTTACTGTCTATTAGTTTTTCTCTGATTTAGGCTTAGACCAGTAAAGTTGTTAAATTGTTAAATTTATGTATTTTAAATTTATTTACGTAGTTTAGTTAAGACAATGTAAAATTTAATTAGTGTAAATTTGTTTAGACTTTCAATATTATGTGTTGCTTCTCTTAAATGAGATAAATACCCAAGGATGCAAAAAACTTAATATAAAGTAGTGTGAAGAAGAAGTAGTAACTGAAATTAAAAGCATAATAAAATTTGATAAGTTTGACTCAGCACTTGACAATGTTTCATCTAGTAACTCTGTAGTATCTCTGCAGTTGTAAATTGCTAAATACTGATTTGACAGATTTTTCTTTTTTTTTTAATTTTCTTTACAATATATAATTTTTACTACTTAATTAGGAATTGTCAGATTTCCATTATTTCTTTCTATTAGAAACCAAGATTTCAAAATATTAGTGGTAAGAACTGTCAAAAACTTGTGATAGCTATGATGAAGAGGTTAGTAAATTAAAAGTGCATTCCTATAAATACTCTGTTTAATTTTATAATGATATTACTCCCATCTTACAATCCATTATACAAATCCCATGCATGGCTCTACGTTAGCCGTTTTACCATAATGGGACGACTGAATAACCGTGAATTTCATACGCTCAAAGTAGCACATGTGCGAAGCAGTTACAAAAACTGGCACAATGCCAAATGGCATAAGTGCAAATGGGCATAACTGCACAAAAAGAATTCCAAACATTTGCATAAGTGCAAACTGCTATAAGTGCAAACTGGCATATGTGTAAATTGGCATAAGTGCGCTAAATAGATTTACAAACATTCGCATAAGTGTGAAATGCCATAAGTGGGAACTGGTATAAGTGTGAAGCAGTTGCAAAAACTTGCAAAAGTGCAAACAACATAAATGCGAACTGGCATAAGTGTGCCAAATAAATTTGCAAAATTTAGCATAATTCCAAACTGCAAATTTATTACACGCATTTATGTCAGTTCGCACTTCTGCCAGTTTTTGTAACTGTTTTTTACGTAATCAAATTTTGCACTTATGCCTATTCGTAATGTTTGCTAACCTGTTTGGCGCACTAATGCCAATTTACACTTTTACCAGTTTGCAAGTTTAAAGCTATAGGTTATCCTATAGCTTTAAACTTTAGTTCAGATAATTCTTTTAACCCAGATAATATTCATATATATGACTACACTAATGGTTAGTGTACACTTATGATCTGGACTATATTAATGGTTAGTGTGCTATTTTTTAAATAGTAGATTAGATTTAATTAATAGATAAACTGTATCGTTAAATTAAAATCTAAATGTTAAATTACATTTAGATTTTATGGGAAAAAAGAAAAAAATTTTAAATACAGTAGTTAATCATAATTTCATAAATTATAAGATATAATATTATTAAAATATATTATTTTTAGATTTGTGACAAATTCGCTCATGGCCAAATCTAATATGGCAGCTGGAAAAGGCAAAGATCTTTTTAGCCTAACTAAGCTATACAATTTAATAAAAGGTACGTTTTTATATATGTATATATATATATATATATATATATATATATATATATATATATATATATATATATATATATATATATATATAAATATATAAATATATATATATATATATATAACATATATATAACATATATATATATATATATATATATATATATATATATATATATATATATATATATATATATATATATATATATATATATATATATATATATATATATAAATCTATATATAACAATTATTAAGTGGGATTGTATTTCAAATTTACCGAATACTAACCTGTTTCCTTTTTTTCTCCTCTTCAAGGACTGTGTATATATATATATATATATATATATATATATATATATATATATATATATATATATATATATATATATATATACACTTACTAAAATGTGTTTTGACAAGCATTTGGTCACTTTTTCTGCTTACCTTAAGCTTTACCGTTTTTTTCGAAAAAGAAGAAAAAACAAAGAATGATGAATAAAACGATTGCTTTCCCATCCCAGACCCTCAGTCGATGTAGCAGCACTGACAAATATATATATATATATATATATATATATATATATATATATATATATATATATATATATATATATATATATATATATATATATGTGTGTGTGTATATATATGTATATATATATATAATATATATGTGTGTGTATATAATATATATATATATATATATATATATATATATATATATATATATATATATATATATATATATATTTATATATTTATATATATATATGTATATATATATATATATATATATATATATATACATATATATATATATATATATATATATATATATATATATATGCAATGTGAAGTTATATATATATTTTTAAAACATATTTGTAATTTAAAAACTTATTACTATTATTATTATACTATTATTATTATTATACTATAATACTGTTCAGATTGTCTGTTTTAAATATATAGTTTTTTCTTTTAGTTTGTGCATCGACTTCTCACGAATCATACACAGAGTCGATTGACGATGCAATAATTGCTGATTCGTGAAAACGGGCAACTTTTGCTTGTCTTAAAGTGCCTTAAATCCATCGTTATAATATTACTTTGTTTGTAAATTGTTTTGAAAAATAAATTTAAAAATAACTATTAAATAAATTTTTTATTTTTCTTGTTTTTTAAACCAACTGGTTCTTTTAAAAACAATTTAATAATAGTACCTATGGATTTGGGAATATTTTCTAAAAAATAACGTCTTTTAAAAGTTTAAAAGACGCCTAAATTATGGTTTTATTTAGGTTATTTGAGATT